ACTCCAGCCCCACTAACTCCATCATCTCCACCTCCATCATCTCTAAAATTTTGAAACCATTAGCTCTGATTCTGGAGCCAGAGAGAGCGCTTCCTTCCTTCAATCTAGGCACATAGTGAAGGCGTCACTGATGTTTATTGCGAGCCTGTAGTGTGTGCATATCTCAGGTCTGTCAGAGAGAGCTGATAGCCTGCTCCTACCAGATGCCAGAAGAGGTAAGATAAACAAGCAATTAATGAAAATAAGGAGGCACACAGCCTGAAGGCCATAGGGTTCAATTATTTATATATCTTTGTGCTTTAGCTCAACTATTGACATTCTCTGAGCTTCCTCTTCCTACAAAAATCTTCCTACAGAAGATTTCTTCAAGGAATGGAGATAATGTACATAAAGAGTGGTTCTCACCTTTGGCTGCATTTTGGACTCACCTGTGGAGCTTTAAAACCCACTGATGCCCAGGTCCCACCCCCAGAGATTCTGATGTAATTGGTCAAGGATGTGGCCTGGGAGCAGGGATTCTAAGACTTCCCAAGTGATTGATTCTAATGTGTAGTCAAGGTTGAGACCTACTGAGTAAAGCCTTTTCACAGTTTCTGACACATAGTAGGTACTCAAGAGTAGGTACTCAATAATTAGTAGATAGGATTATGATAGCTCAGTGAACAAGAGAGTTTTAGGTTAATTGGAGAGAGAGATTCCTGGGGGCATTTCAGAAAGGCAGTGGCATTTTATCTAGCCCTTCAAGAAAAGGACAGTGATCATAGTGTGGGGTAAAAAGATCTGGAAATTGGAAAGCCTGGTCTATTGATGTGAACCAGTGCTCAAGTATCTTAACATTATATACTTCTCTGTGGATTTGTGTCTTTGTCCTCAAAGGGTTGTAGGTCCCACCCTTATTGGATTCTGAGGGTGTTACCTATGTTCATTATCTATTTGCTATATAACAAGTTACCTGAAATATTACTGTCTTAAAACAACAATAATTATTTACTATCTTTTACTGTTTTTGTGGCTTAGAAGTACAGATGGTGGTACAAAGGGCATAGCTTATCTCTGCTCCACTATGTCTGGGGCCTCATCTGGAAGCTGGAGACTAGAATCGTCTGCAGGGTCACTCACTCACACGTCTATGGTTGACGTTGGTTGTTGGTTGAGGACTTAGCTAGGGCTATCAGCTGGAACACTCGCACCTGGGCTTTCTTACAGCTTGGTGGCTGAGTTCCCAAGGCAAGCATCCTGAGAGAGACTAGGAGCCGGGCAGAAGCCATATCCTTTTTATGACCTAGTGTTGGAAGGCTCATAGCATCAATTCCAACTGATTCTGTTAGAAACGAGTCACTGAGTCCAGCCTATATTCAAAGGAAAGCAAATTAGATTCTTCCACTGTTTGAAGGGGAGAAATGTCCGAGAATGTGTATGGCATATTTAGAAATCACCACGTTGTGTAATACTTTAATTCCTTGCAGCCTGTTGTGACTAGAACCTTGGGTTTGGAATCCAAAGATAAGATTTCAAGTTCCATTGCTACTTTTTCCTAGCATCATGAGTGACTCACTGACTCTAACATGCCCTCTTCTTTTTCATCCAGTTAAAAGGAAACTAAATGAGAGTCAGGTATGTGTATGTGTTTTACTATGTACAAATGCACATTATTCTTTAATCTTCTGATTCCACTAACCTTCTTCCTTGGACTGAGAATGTACTGAGTGCAAAATAAAAAATGACACGTGAAACCATTAGATCAAGTTAGTAAGAAAAATGATCACGAATACAGACGGGTTATTTTTTTTAATTCCATGTAACTTAAAATACTTCTAATATAAATCACAACTATACATTGTATAGGAAACAGTTATTGATATTACTGAAAATTATTTCCAATTCTTGGAAAAAAGTTATTAAAATATAAATGTTTTAACAATTGCGTACATGTATGTGTGTGTGTGTGTGTGTGTGTGTGTATGAAAGAGAGCTTTCAGAAGAAACATTTATTGACTGCCAGTCATGAGAAAAGAGATGAATGAGACCCACCCAGCACTGACCATTGCTTCCCATGGTCCAGTATATATATAGAGAGAGAGAGAGAGAGAGAGAATACATTTATATATGTAAATGCATAGAAAATAACTGGAATGATATACACCAAACAAAAGTGGTCATTCCAGGAGAGGGGCAGGAAATGAGAGAAAAGGGGACTTCCAATTTAGAAAAAAGTTGAATTTCAGTAGTTTGAGCTTTTTTTTTTACATTAACGAGCATATATTTATTATATGTTAACAAGCATTATTTATATAACTGAAAATACTTTTTAAAAGAAGAGATCTTTGTCATATGCAGTGTTGGGTGGAGAGAGGGCAGATGGGGGAGGTTGTCTCCATAATAAGTCATTTTCTGCTATATTTTACAATTGAGTCCATAGGTGACTTTATCTTAAGTGATGGGCCTCATCTTCAGCCTGAGGGTGTAGGAGAAGCAGCCAGACTTAGCCAGGAGGGGATGAGGCTGGAAGAACTGGGACTCAGGCCTGGAGCCAGAGGAAGGGTAAGATTAGGCTGGAGTTAGTTCGATTAGATCACTGTTGAGAGGGTTAAGAATGAGCCTTAGGGAGCCAGGGAGAAGCTCTGGCAAAAACTTTCAGAGCCTAGAGCCTTCACCAATTGTTCCGTGATCGAGCAGACAAAGCTCCCACAAGTTTTACTAAGTGGCTGACTTCATCCTGGAGTACCTAGGTTGCTTTAATAGGACAGATGACAAATTGTTTCCCACCTGTGGATTTTCTGTCATGCCAGCCTTGCTTGATTTTTCCTGGCTTTATTCTGTGACCAGGAAATAAATTGGAATTCTGAAAAGTTGCTTTAGCCAAATCCTGTGAACAAAGGGGGCCTTGTTCAGGGTGATGCGCATCAGCTTTTGGAGGAGTGGAAGTCATCAGCTTGGATCTCTGCTTTTCAAGTCCTTGCTCCAGTTAGCATTATGTTTTTCTGTGGAGGCACAAGCCCTGTGGAAGAGCAGGCCGTGCTTCTTGTTCACCCCACTTGAGGCCTGGGCCTGACTCTAGTCACGCCAACAAGTTCCACCTGGGCAAATCCTGGCCCTAGTGGTCCTAAATGGACACTGTGAAGACTCCACAAGAGAGAGAGGCAAGCTTTGTTACTGTGTTTGGTTTCTCCAGGGCTTACCTGGAGGCTGTTATAATTTCTAAGATTTCTATGGATCACGTAGTCCATCAGAGGGGTGTAGACACAAAAGTCAGGAGCTAGGAGTGATAGTCACCATTCTGTTAGTCACCTTCCCTCCTGTTACTGAAATGTCCTGAAGAGTGACCAGTATTTACTGGTTTGGGTCCTGGCTGACCATGGCTGAGGCCTGGAGCCCTTAAACCAGTCTTGAAACTTGCCTGTTCGATTTGTTTTCCCTGCAGACAGCAGTAACTATTTGTTAGAAATAGCAAGTGGTATTTGAAAAAGATACTACTTTAGTATGTTAAGTGACATTCTACCCCTGGGAGGACTTGTGGGACATTTCTTAGGGGGATTCCAGCTCCATGCCCAGAGCAGTCATAGGCCGGATGTGTTGCCCCGTAATGCCAGGTAACTAATGGCATTATGCTACCGGTGTGTGTGTGTGGCTGCCATTTTCTTCATTTTTGTCTTCTGTTTCCCTTTACAGGGCAATCTGGTTTTGATGCTGTGACAGAGATTCTCTGACAATGAGTTACTGGAACTCGGGGAAAAGAAACGGTGTGCGGTACCGCAGGCATTTTCTGGTGGACAACGGTGCATTTCACGGTAAGCTGCCTTCTGTATTTATGTACTTGAATCTTTTATTTGTTTCTGACAGCACTTTTATTCTAGCATTCTGGGTGCAAATATAGTATAATTGCTGGGTTCAACCAAGAGCTTGAGTTAACTCATTTATGGATTATTACCTAGAAGCCCCAGTGGACTCATGTGCCAAGTACCTCGCCTCAACAACCATAATGAAATTCTCACTTTCCACCTTACAAGTTAGTTTATGTCAGTGCCTTTTTCCTTCCAGATTGTCAGCTCCAGTAATACTCCTTTCTAATGTTTGGAATTTGGGGGAGCTAGACCCATAGTAAGTGTTCAGTTAATATTTGCGGATCATCAATGAGTACTTATTACTGGCATGATGTGTGCCTTCTATGAGACCACATATAAAAACAGAACAGAGCAGTTCACAGCACTTAACCATCACTATTAGGGTGGATTACTGCAGCCCTAAGTCAGTCAGAGGGTAATCAGTATTAGTCATTTTCATGGCACACCAAGACTAATTGCCTTTACCCTGCTGGTGTGTTTATTTTGTGTTATGCAATCAGGGATAAGCTCTGTCAATCCTGCTATCAGGGTACCCTTGAGTGAAATTTATTTAAGAGTCAAAGATATATGTGTTGCCAGAATTTTTGGAGTAATCGCCATCAAAAGCTGGTGGAATTATAGCAGGAAGAGAGAGATTTCACAGGGAGTGGAGTGCTGTTTGACCGAATCCTATAATTTAAGCTGCTTTTGACTTTCTAAACTTGGTGTTTCTTCTCCAGTTTGGTGATGGGCTGATGTTTTTATTGCTTTAAATTAAGTTTAAGATAACAAACTTAACCTTAATTGAAGCATTTTAGAGTTTACAATGTTTTTTCATATTCATTATTTCTCCTCATTCTAGAACTTTCCTAGGTAGAGAATGACTTTATTTTATAGGTCAAGAAAGGGAAGCAGAGATGAAATTATCAGCCCAAGTTGACATAGCTAATTATTAGCAAAGTCAGAACTGAAATTCTTGCCTCCACCTTTCCAGGCTGGCTCTCATGGCATTGCAGGGGTGAAGTGCCCTTAGCAAAGGACACGTGGGAATTATGACAACACTATGGCACTGAGTTCTACTTTGTTTTTCTCTGAACCTCATCTCATCTAAGGGTCTTGCTCATTGCTTCTTCTCTCACATACAGTGTTTACTGTGTGGTATTTTCTTAGAATTTTATTTGTATTAAAGATGATACATACGGTAATTGAAGAAACACAGGCATTAGAAAAACTAGCTTTATATTTTCAAGTTTCATTTTGTGCCAGTTTTTAACTTTAAATTTAAATGCCATCATAGATTATTTTGGAATGCCTTTGTCCAGAGATCTCAAAGTCTGTAGCAATTTAAAAACCATTCCTATGTATATTTATAGTTGTCTTATCACTTAGCTTACTACTATATTGTAGATACTTCTCCCGAGGGCTTGACGATCATTGCCCTATTGAATCCTTTCACTACCTTTGCCATCATCATCATTCATCCCATTTTATGGATGGGGAAACAGGTTTGCGGGAGGTTGTGAAGTGATGTTAGGCAGAACTCCAAAACCCTGCTATTATCTTCCAGGCTGTCACTCCATTTCACTAGAGAAATTAACACTCTGAGAGGTTTAAGTTCTGTTCAACAGTATTTACTCTGCTATTAGCTAGCAGTGTGTTATCTTGAGCAAGTTTTATAAATCCTGCAGGATCTCGGTTCTCTCCTCTGTGTAATGAGTGTGCTAGTCTTTATGATTTTTGAGATTCTTTCTAGTCGTAATCTGAGATTCCATCGAAGTAGTTCTGAGAATTAGATTACTGTATTTTGTGAGCTACCTTTTCACTAAACATGAGATACACAAGAGGGCAGTAGAATACTTAAAATATGAACTAGTTACTTCCATTCAAGAATTACTCTTTTTGAAAGGAGGTAGAGATATCACATCTGCCTAAGACTAAAATGATTAAAGCCACTTAGAATTATGATTCTATTCATTGATAATAAAGCAGTAGCTTTAAGTCTTTCTGATAGTGTAAAATATAATTTTGGATATTTATACCTAAAGATATGTATTTCAGGAAAGAATGATGCCTCCGTGCTTCCTCTTTACCTCTGCAGAAAATTAATGTCGTTAAGATAGGAACTTATTTAACTTAATGGAGAATTGTGAGGATTCTTTGTATATTTCAAACCAAGGGAGCTCTAGAGAAAATATCTTTGTAGAGGATTTCAGAACATTTCTGAGAGATGTTGAGTTAGAAATGTCAGATATTTTTGGAGGGGCTTCTGGAACAAAGGGTAGATTTTGCATACTAGCTTTTGCATACTAGCTTGGCTTCTGTCTAACTCTCCTTACATTACCAAATCAATTAAAACAAAATGAAACAAAACCTCTTCCATTATAAACAGAAAACAACCATTTTCTGTGCAAGACAATTGACTTGTAGAATATACAGACTTGGATGTGCAAATTGTGCTAGGCATACTCTTTACGTACAGATTTAAGCAGAATTCCTATGAGAAAAGAACCACGTTAAAATGAGGGCTATGTAGGCTAAAATGGTCTATGAAAGGAACAATAAAAATGTGACATATATATACCGTTTTACAGTTCATAAAACATATTCATAACCTCAGTGTAGAGGTAGTATGATTCTCATTGGAAACCATTTAGGAAATTACCCACAATCCCACAACTTCAAAAGAAACACTATTAATTGTCTCTGTCTAGTCTTTTATCTATTTCGTCTTCTTAATTCTGATGTAGGAATGGAATATTTGGAAAAGCTAGGAAATGATGGATACTGGTCAACAGAAAGGAGCTGGTTGAGTTGACTTAATTCTATGTTCAGTGATGAAAGGGAACTCAGTTAGGAATTATAAAAAGCTGTTTTTATATTTTCCACTAGCCTGTCCTTTGCCCAGATTTTTAGGGGATCTGTTGAATCTTAAGGGTTTATATACGTATCAAAGAAGCCAATTGCTGGAGTTTTTCTTCTACTTGGCTTTTATTTAGTCTCCTGATGTGTTTGAAATAGAGAAAAAACTTGAGCAAAGAATGATTTGTGTAGTATGAATATTGCTTTAATGGCTTATAATATTGCTTTAATGGCTGAAATTCATGAAAGTATTCTTATTTGAAAATTACCTATCCCCTAGCTGTTTCTCTTGGTTGCAATGAAGTGAAGCATTTTTTTTGACTTGGGACACAGATTCTTAAACCAAGACTCAGTGTATTTTCAATTAATATGTACAATTTCTTATGCACATAACTCTTCCAAACATTTGAGTTTTTTAATAGAATATACTTGCAGGTGACTTAATTTTTGCTTTCATGCACTGCAAGTTATAGCTTTGATGCTGGAAACATTTATTAATTGCTTTTCTATAAGCTATTATGGTATCATAACTTATTATATTGAAATTTATTTCTGTTGCTATCATATTGTTATAGGTGTTAAATAAAAATATAACCAAGTAAATTTCAAAGATCTAATTGGCTTTAATGAACAATTCATGAATTGGGCAGCATCCCATCTAGCAAGCAGAAAAGAGCTCCAGAGGGCTGTAGAAAGGGAAAGGTTTTTAAAGGCGGAGAGAGGGTGGGACAAGGAACTCATAAATGAAAAAATGGATTTTTTTCGGGCAGGGCCACCTACCTTTGGACAAGTGGGTCTGTTAGGAGGATTACCTCATTGGTGCCTACCAGGAAATTCCAGACTGGCTGGTTAGGATTACATTCTGTGTGTGTGTGTGTGTGTGTGTGTGTGTGTGTGCATGCACACGGAAGGATGCTCATGAGTTCCTTCTGACCATGGAGAGACCAGTAGCTAGGACTGACAAGCAAGCTTTAGGACAAGTATTATTATATTAAAAAAACGAAAAGTAGAGAAGTTTCCCTTCCACTTTCACTGGAAAAAAAGAGAAGAATGCCAGATCCTGCCTGGTAAATATGCAAGGAGAGTGGAATTATACAGAAGTGAATTATGGTTCTCATTAATTTAAGCCACTTTATTAGGAAGTTATGACCCCTTCGGCAGGGGTGGGCCTGCAGATTTGGGGGCATTACTATATTTTATATTAGAATGTCACTTCTTCACTGAGCAAAGCCTAGCTTTTTCAGCCAATAACTATATAAATATCCTCTTCTAGGTCCAGAAAATAGCAAGGCACATAGAATCCTATCAAAAATAGTTGAGATTTTTGTGAGCATCATTAAGATAAAAAGTATTATCTCTTAGAGAGGAATATTGCATGGAAAAAATTTCAAAGGAAGTTGAGAGAAAGGATTAAAAGAAAGAAGATAGGCTTTAAGGGAGAAAATGTACTAGAGTCATTTAAATTTGATAAATTATAATAGAACTATTTCTGGAAGCAGCTTTGCCCAGTAGATTTCTCTTTAGCGCCACCCCCAAGTCTGCCTACCCCGCCAGTGATGGCTACCAGGCAGAAAGCTTTGAGGGCAGATATCCTTTCAGGCCTGTGATGTTCAGGTACATCTTACAAATATGCCAGAGGCAGTGAAGGCTTAGCAAGGCCTGACCAGGTGTCCTTATTCATTAACATTTTGGCTTAGGGTGACTTCATTTCCCCAAAGGTACTGATGTTGGTTTTGTTTGTTGTGCTTGCTTCTTGCAAGGTTGTATAACTGAATTGGTCAGAACCAAGTAATGATCCACAGATTTCATAAAAATCCATGTTGAGATGTTTCTGCCTCTTTTTCCCATCGGAAATCTTATTTTTGGGGGAAATTTTGCTGAGTATGTCATTCTTTCTTTGTCAAAGTCATTCATCCTGTAATGATGCGTAGCAAAATGGCAAATTGAAGATCTATATACCTGGTAAGCCCAGGTAGGTGAGAAGTAACAATATTTAGTCTTTGAAGCTTTAGCTTTAGTTGTTGTCTGAATCAAATCTATCATGTTAAGGGAAATTCTTGACTGGCCTTTGCCTTAGACCCTCAAATTCTTTCTCTTAAACCTGTGAC